GAATTTGGGATTTGCTGGGATTTGGGGAATTTGGGATTTGGGGAATTTGGGATTTGGGGAATTTGGGATTTGGGGAATTTGGGATTTGGGGAATTTGGGATTTGGGGAATTTGGGATTTGGGGAATTTGGGATTTGGGGAATTTGGGATTTGGGGAATTTGGGATTTGGGGAATTTGGAATTCGGGGAATTTGGAATTGGGGAATGTGGGGAATTTGGAGAATTTGGAGAATTTGGAAAATTTGGGGAATTTGGGAATATGTGAAATTTGGGGAATTTGGAATTTTGGAATTTCACAATTCTCAAGTTTCCAAATTTCAGAATTTTCGAATGTTCGAATATCTAAATTTCTAGATTCTACAACTTTCCAAAATTCCCTATTTCCAAATTCCACAAGATCCCAAATTTTCCCATAAAAATTTCTAAATTCTCCTTTCCAATTTCGTAATCTTTGGTTTCTAAAATTTTCAAATACTCCAATTTCCCGATTTTCAAATTTCACAACTCTCCAAATCCGAAATTCCCTAAATTTCAACAATTCCACAAATTCCCCAAATTTCCGATATCAAAAACTCCTCAAATTCCACCAAATTCCCTCAAATTCTCCAAAATCCCCCAAAATTTCACAAAATATCTCCAAATTCCCCCAGAATCTCCTAGAAATACCCAAAATTTCTCAAATTTCCCTAAATTCCCCATACCTCGAATTCCCAAAATTTCCAAAATTCCATAAATCCTAAATTTCCCAAAAATTCTTAAGTTCCCCTAATTCCGCCAAATTTTCTAAATTCCCCAAGTTTCCAAAATTCCACAAATCCTAAATTTCCCAAAAATTTCTAAATTCCCCTAATTCCGCCAAATTTCCTAAATTCCCCAAATTTCCAAAATTCCACAAATCCTAAATTTCCCAAAAATTCCTAAATGCCCCAAATTCCTCCAAATTTCCTAAATTCCCCAAATACCCCAAATTTCTAAAATTTTACAAATCCTAAATTTCCTAAAAATTTCTTCATTCCCCAAATTTCCTAAATTCCCGAAATTTCCCTAAATTCTCCAAAAATTTCCCAAAATTCCCCACATTCCCCAAATTTCCCATATTCCAAATTCCACAAATTCCACAAATTCCCCATATCCCAAATTCCTCCTATCCCAATTTTCTCAATTCCCAAATCTCCAATTCCACAAACTCCAAATCCCATAACACTCAAATCCTTCTCCTTTCACATTCCAAACGAATTATTTAATTGAAATCCTACCGGAACATCAGTCTAGAAGCTAAATTGACCGAAATAGGAGCGAGCCGAGGGAAACGTTTCTCAGCCCGATGAACGTCGAATGTCCTCGGGCAACATCAATCCTTAGCCACTGTACGAGAAGGAAATGCATTTGCATGACTAACTACGACACTGTGTTAATTTTAATTTCATACCTTCACGGTCTACTAACCAGCAAAAGTCCGATTTTTCATTTCGACCGTGATTCAATATGCAAACGAAAATGTGGCCGACATTGAGAACTCTATCCCCCTCCTCCTTCAGATAGAAATCGTTACAGAGACCATAATACGTTTCGCGTCATTTATGCGATATGATAATTGGTCGAAAAAGAAAAAACCATCCTCTATGTAGGTGTTTAAATAGCACAAGTATGAACGCGCGACATTGAGCCTTAATTATCTGTCTATTCAGAGAGAAACGTTCCTGGTAAACCTTCTCGAATCAAGGATTTCAATCTGCCTTGCAATTATATACCGATAATAATTGACGATCAACTTGTAATTACCTACCGCTTTAATCAGTTTTATGATCTTATTTGTTTACTGAAGTACTACGAAGTTTTGTTACGTGGCTGGTGAAATTATAGGGACGGAAATATGGAAATTGTGTTAGGTATGGAGTAATTGATTAGTGAGGCTCTAACATGCAAAAAGTGAAAACTTGGGTTTTAGGAATTCTGAAATTGAGATTTATGAATTTTAAAATTACTAAGAGTTTCATGGTATAGAGATTTAAATTTAAAATTTCCAATATTCTAAAATTCAGAGCTTTCACTTGGAAAGTTTAAACGTTTGAAGCGTTGAAATTCTTTATATACAAACTCTTCACTTTTGTATTTGAAATTTTGAATTTTGCAGTTTCAAATTTGAATTTCGGAAATTTCAAAATTTGTATTTTGCAAATTCCTCAAATTACCTAAATTTTCAAGATCCCCTAAATTCCACAAATATCCAAATTCCCCAAATTCCCTAAATTCTCCAAATTTTCCAAATTCTCCAGTTTCCAAATTCTCCGAATTCCCCAAATCCCCCAAATTCCCCAAATTCCTCAAATTCCCCAAATCCCAAATTCCTCAAATTCTGAATTCCCCAAATTCCCCAAGTTCCAAATTCTCCAAATTCCAAATTCTCCAAATTCCCCAAATTCCCCAAATTCCCCAAATTCCTCCAAATTCCCAATTCCCCAAATTTCACAAATTTCCTAAATTCCCAAATTCCCTAATTCCCCAAATTCCCCAAATTCCCAATTCCCTGAATTCCAAATTCCTCAAATTCCAAATTCCAAATTTTCCAAATTCCCAATTCCCCAAATTTCACAAATTTCCTAAATTCCCAAATTCCCTAATTCCCCAAATTCCCCAAATTCCCAATTCCCTGAATTCCAAATTCCTCAAATTCCAAATTCCCCAAATTCCAAATTCTCCAAATTCCCAATTCCCCAAATTTCACAAATTTCCTATTCCCCAAATTCCCCAAATTCCCCAAATTCCCCAAATTCCCCAAATTGCCAATTCCCCACATTCCCCACACTCAATTTCTCAATCTCTCAACTTCCCAATTACCCACAAACTCTAAAAAAATTTAAGAATTTTCGCATACATAAAACTCGAAGAATAAAGTTCACAAATATCTAATGAAATTCCTAAAACGACCACCGCGGTACTAAAAAGAATCCCGAAATTTACAGTCACGATCCCCGATAAACCCGCAAACTCGCAAATTAATATATCCCCGAAATCCTCAACCATCCAATTCCCTCCACATCCAAATCCCAGCCATGAAACACAGTGCATACGTTTCCCCGGCTCTCCTCAAGCGTTCAGCGTCTTCCCAGCCGCGTCCCATTTTGACCCACCCTGATTACCATCCTACGATCACGATTCGGACGCGCGTTGCAGAGCAAACGGCTGCAGCTGATTTTCCCCGATATCTGTCTGTAAAGTTGGCCATCGGGGAGCTCACTCGCTCTGATCCTTAACCGGGCGAAATAAAAATACAAATGGCCACGTACCGGTTGGCGAGCCACAGAAACGACCATCGTAGACCTATATAGGCCACGTTATAAAATGAGAAATGCATGAGGAAGCCAGCGTAGTCTAGGGACTTACCGTCGTGGGAGTCGTACAAGTAGATGATCTTCTTCCAGCCGTAGTATCGCACTGTGTCGATGATGGCGCGATGATAATCCGGACGCATACTTATGGCGAAATCCAGGAGACCGGAGGACGGTGTCAGAACCTGTGACGTAACAAATGCTACGGTTACAGTCGCGTGTTTCGACTTTCAGATTATATTCGATTTCGATAGGTTTTGTACTAAAATGTAATCGCTAGGGAAACGTTAAACGCTGCGTGACCGTCACGGGATAAATTCCATCGTAAATATTTATTGGCTCGTAGAAAGTGAAACTATGTTTTTGCTGAATGTGCTGAAACGGTGTAGCGGCAAGCGTGAAGGTTTTTCTAGGGAAATCGAATGTTCGGAATTGGGTTAACTGTTCGCGGAATTTTGAGCGGTAGATGTTTGGGATTGGAGTGGAATGGTGGGGTAGTTGGAAATTTGAGATTTTGTGTTTGGAGATCTGGGAAGTTGCGAGAAGGGGGAACGGAGGTTTGGGGAGTTTGAGGTTTGGAGATTTTGGGTATATTGGTATTTGGCAATTTGGGGAATTTGGGGAATTTTATGGAATTTGGAGAATTTTGGAATATGGGCCATTTGAGATATGGGGAATTTGGAATATGGAGAATTTGGGATATAGGGAATTTGAGATATGGGGAATTTGGGATATGGGGAATTTGGGATATGGGGAATTTGGGATATGGGGAATTTGGGATATGGGGAATTTGGGATATGGGGAATTTGGGATATGGGGAATTTGGGATATGGGGAATTTGGGATATGGGGAATTTGGGATATGGGGAATTTGGGATATGGGGAATTTGGGATATGGGGAATTTGGGATATGGAGAATTTGGGATTTGGGGAATTTGGGATATGGGGAATTTGGGATATGGGGAATTTGGGATATGGGGAATTTGGGATATGGGGAATTTGGGATATGGGGAATTTGGGATATGGGGAATTTGGGATATGGGGAATTTGGGATATGGGGAATTTGGGATATGGGGAATTTGGGATATGGGGAATTTGGGATATGGGGAATTTGGGATATGGGGAATTTGGGATATGGGGAATTTGGGATATGGGGAATTTGGGATATGGGGAATTTGGGATATGGGGAATTTGGGATATGGGGAATTTGGGATATGGGGAATTTGGGATATGGGGAATTTGGGATATGGGGAATTTGGGATATGGGGAATTTGGGATATGGGGAATTTGGGATATGGGGAATTTGGGATATGGGGAATTTGGGATATGGGGAATTTGGGATATGGGGAATTTGGGATATGGGGAATTTGGGATATGGGGAATTTGGGATATGGGGAATTTGGGATATGGGGAATTTGGGATATGGGGAATTTGGGATATGGGGAATTTGGGATATGGGGAATTTGGGATATGGGGAATTTGGGATATGGGGAATTTGGGATATGGGGAATTTGGGATATGGGGAATTTGGGATATGGGGAATTTGGGATATGGGGAATTTGGGATATGGGGAATTTGGGATATGGGGAATTTGGGATATGGGGAATTTGGGATATGGGGAATTTGGGATATGGGGAATTTGGGATATGGGGAATTTGGGATATGGGGAATTTGGGATATGGGGAATTTGGGATATGGGGAATTTGGGATATGGGGAATTTGGGATATGGGGAATTTGGGATATGGGGAATTTGGGATATGGGGAATTTGGGATATGGGGAATTTGGGATATGGGGAATTTGGGATATGGGGAATTTGGGATATGGGGAATTGGGGATATGGAGAATTGAGGATATGGAGAATTTGGGATATAGGGAATTTGAGATATGGGGAATTTGGGAAATGGGGAATTTGGGATATGGGGAATTTGGGATATAGGGAATTTGAGATATGGGGAATTTGAGATATGGGAAATTTGGGATTTGGGGAATTTGTCGAATTCGATGAGTTTTTAGGAATTTGGGGAATTTTGGGACCATGGGATTTGGGGAGATTTTGAGGATTTGTGGGAATTTGGGAGATTTGGTATTTGGTAATCTAGGTATTCTGAAATTTGAGAATTTTGTTCATTTCAATATATAAAATTTGTATGTGTACTTGGAAATTTATAAAACCAAATATTTTAACATCTGATATTTTAGAAATTTTGGCATTTCATTTCAAGTTTTATGGACTTGAAAACTTAAAAAATGGGGAGCTTGAAAATAAGTAAATTAATGAACACAAAAATTGTTTACATTTAAAAATATTAATGAAATAATAAAAAAATGTGAATACACATAAAACGAAACAAAGTTGACAGTTTAATAGCTGCTATCGGTATTCGCGATTATGATGCCGTTCCATGCTATTATTCTATACTAATTACAATGTATGAGATGTATGGTAGTAACACATCCCATCCAAACTTCCTAATTGCTTGTTGTTATTTACTAATTACTTCCAGTGATATACATATATGCATTACATTTGCATCAAGATTTTAAGTAACGTTTTCAGATTTGCATCATTTAACTAATTTAATATTTATACCTTAATAAATAGAAATATGATGGTTTTTTAATAGTGAACACAGTTATTTTTATTAAAACACGCAAAATAAATTATTACAAGAAGACGCCGGGCATTGTAAAACGTGAAGTCACCAACGGTTCTCCAAACACACAACGCTGCACGGCAACCAAAAACAGAAAACGAAGGACCGCGAATTTCTTCATTTAAGAGTTTTAAAGCGCGTAAATTCAAAACTCCAACAAAATACTTGTACCATTCCACAAATTATTTTTTTTTCAAGATTTTCCTTCTTTTATTTACTGTAAAGGGGAGTGAAATAATTATTTATTTGGAAGGCGGATTTAAAAATCAAATTCTAAAATTTTTGTTTTCACATTTTTTAATTTTCAAGTTTTTCAAGCTTTTAAATTTGAAGATTTGGGAATTTACAAATTCCTAAGATATTTTCTAAATTCCTAAACTTCTAAATTTTTAAATTTACAAATTTACAAATCTATCACTCTCAAATTTTCAAATACTGAAATTCTGCAGCTTCGAATTTTTTAATTCTCAAATTTCCAGATCCTCAAATTTCTAAATTCCCAAACTTTGAAATTCACTAATTTCCAGCTTGTTAAATATCTGCATCCTCAAATTGCAAATCCCTTACTCTCAAATTTTTACAAACTCTACTTCCAACACTCTCAAATTATTCTTCAAATATCCCACAAAAACGCTCCCACTCCTAAACCAAAATTGAACACCCAAAAATCAAGAAAAAGTATAATAAACTCATACTTATTCCAACTCCAAAATTGTCAAAAACCTAAACCCCCATTGATGGAAAACCTAAACACCATCAAAATTTCCTTACCCAAAACGACTCCACCTTTTCACAATCTCTCCCTCCAAAAACAGCGCGTTTTTCCCGCAAAAAACGTCAGAAAGCAACGTCACGTATCGCGATACAGTGACAGGAAAATAGCGTGCCTCGTGGAAATTGAAAAAGATCTCTCCGCATAAATGGCGGGTCCGAGCGCCGTAGATGCGAGAGAAAGGACAGCCCAAAAAGCGGAAAAAGAACGCAGTGCCTCGAATTAGCATTACTACGCGATTAGCATTTAAACGACACGGACGTTCGTTGCGCGGTCGACGGTGTTCACTTAGCTGCATGTACGTACACGCGTGCGTGTATACACGAAAACACAAGCTCGGATAAAAACGCACACTTACGTGCGCGGCAGAATATACGACCGCGCCATTCGTCCAATATGGACGTACGATATCAGTTTTGCAAGTGGTACCGCGGACCGATAAATGCACCACCGTTGCCCGTACCATGCGGCGAATAAATTTTCAACCCCTTTCTCTGTTCATTCCGATATTCAAATTGTAATATGTTTTACCCTCTCGGTACGCGTTTACGAATTTACGAGCGCCAGGCTTTGAACGGGCTAATTATCGACGGGGTCTTTACAGAAATTCCGGATCGGTGGTAAATCTGGGTGACTTGAAAAGAGAATCGTGATTGATTACGGGATGTTTGCGTTGTTGCAAATTTTTAGCGAGGTTTTATGATGGAATGATTTGGTAAGGGGTAGTTGGGACGAAGGTTAATTTGAAGTTGGCTGAATTTGGGGAATTCAGGGAATTTGTGGAATTCGGGGGAATTTGGAAGATTTGAAGCATGGGGAATTTGGGATTTGGGGAGTTTAGGATTTGGAGAATTCGGGATGTGGGGAATTTGGGATTTGGGGAATTTGGATTTGGGGAATTTGGATTTGGGGAATATTGGAATTTTGGTACCTTAGAATTTTGATATTTTTGAATTTTAAAAACTTTATGATTTTAGGGGAATTTGGGATTTGAGAAATTTAGGATTTGGGATTTGGGGAATTTGGGGAATTTGGGATTCGGGGAATTTGGAGTATGGGGAATTTGGGATTTGAGGAATTTGGGATTTGGGGAATTTGGGGAATTTGGGGAATTTGGGATTCGGGGAATTTGGGGTAAGGGGAATTTGGGATTTGGGGGATTTGGGATTTGGGGAGTTTCGGATTTAGGAAATTTGGGAAATTTTGGGAATTTGGGAATTGGGGTGGGGAATTTGAAATTTGGGGAATTTGGAATTTGGGGAAGTTGGAATTTGGGGAATTTGGAATTTGGGGAATTTGGGATTCGGGGAATTTGGAATTTGGGGAATTTGGAATTTGGGGAATTTGGGGAATTTAGGATTTGAGAAATTTGGGAATTGAGGAATTTATAATTTGGGAAATTTGAGAAATTTGGGGAATTTGGGGAATTAGGGGAATTGAGGGAATTTGGGATTTGTGAAATTTGGGAATAGAGGAATTTGGAATTTGGGGAATTTGGGGAATTTGGGGAATTTGGGGAATTTGGGGAATTTGGGGAATTTGAAGGATTTGAAGTGTGGGGAATTGGAGGAATTTCGAGAATTTAGGAATTAGGGAATTTAAGGAATTTAAGGAATTTGGGGAATTAGGGGAATTTGGGGAATTTGGGGAATTTGGAGAATTTGGAGAATTTGGGGATTTAGTGGTATTTGGGAAATTGGGGAAATTGGAAGAATTTGGAATATAGGAAATTTGGGAAATTTGGGGGAATTCAGGAACTTTTGCGACATTTGGGTCATGGTGAATTTTGGAAATTTGGTAAATTTTGAAGAATTTGTGGAATTTAAGAATTTTTGGGAAATTTGGGATTTGTGGAATTTATAGGAAATATGGGGAGAATTTTCGGGGATTTGAGGAATTTGGGAAATTTTGAGGATTTGGTACTTTGGGGAATCTGTTGAATCTGGGGAATTTGTGGAAAGGTGAAAAACCTAGGTAATAACCTAACCTACCCCAAGCGAAACATTGATAACCGTAATAACCTAACCTACCCTAAATGAACCATTGTTGACCAAATAACCGAACCTATCCCAAATGAGCCACAAGGACCGTAATAACTTATCCTACCCCAAATGAAAACTTAACTAATAATAATACCTAACTAATGTAATGTATAAACATAGTTATGTAACTTCATTTACATTAGTGACTCAGAAAGTGAAACGATTCCTTAATTTTGCAAATTCATTCAAACGCAACAGACCATGAGCACAAGTAGAGCAAGAACGGAATAAGAGATTCGATCCAATCTTCTCCAGCGAACTACTTATCGGCAAATCAGAGTTTTCAATTGTTACGAAAATTCTGGACTAATCAGATAGCTACCAACTGTAAGTTCTTGTTCGTTAAAAAGTCACGGGACGTAGTTCGCATCAACTTTTTAATTGAACGCAGATGAGCGTTCAGAGACTCGATAAAAATAAGGTCGAAGGCCGATCGGTCGTGTAAAGGAGAATCCACGGGGTACGAAGGGTTAAAAATAGTCGGAGTTCTCCCTTCGACGAGGCTATTTTATTATTTTTTTTTTTTTTTTTTTATTTAGATGGTAGGGAAAGTAATGTTATTTACCTTCTCGGGAAACCAGGGCGTGACAAAAGGCATCTGGAACGTGTTGCTGTAAGAATGGAGGGTGTCGAACGAGTCCGGACTCACGGCACCCAACATGGAAAACACCCCTCTGCTGAATTGACTGCAGACTGGAACAGAAAAATAATTCTCGTTAAATATCTTTATCCGTGTATATTAAAGTGATGTGGAGTATTTTATATACTATATTTATATATATACAGGGTGTTGCACAACTAGAGTAAGCCCCTGAATTGGGGGGTAGCTGATGTGATTTTGAATAAGATTTCCCAGAATATGGAAATTTGAGGGATTAAGCAATTGAGAAGCTGGAAACTTGAGAGGTTGGAAGTTTGAGAAGTTAGAAACTTGAGAAGGTGGATATTTGAGAAGGAGAAAATTTGAGTGGTTGGAAATTTGAAAAGGTGGAAATTTGAGAAGGTGAAAATTTGAGAGGTTGGAAATTTGAGAAGGTGGAAATTTGAGAAGCTGGAAATTTCAGAAGGTGGAAATTTGAGAAGGTGGAAATTTGGGAAGGTGAAAGTTTGAGAGGTTGGAAATTTAAGAAAGTGGAAATTTGAGAAGGTGGAAATTTAAGAAGTTGGAAATTTGAGAAGATGGTAATTTGAGAAGGTGGAAATTTGAGAGGCTGGAAATTTAAGAAGATCGAAATTTGAGAAGGTGGAAATTTGAGAAGGTGGAAATTTAAAGAGGGTGGAAATTTGAGAAAGGTTGGAAATTTGAGAGGTTGGAAATTTGAGAAGGTGGAAATTTGTGAAGATAGAAATTTGAGAAGGTGGAAATTTAAGAAGGTGGAAATTTGAGAGGTTGGAAATTTGAGAAGGTGGAAATTTGTGAAGATAGAAATTTGAGAAGGTGGAAATTTAAGAGGTTGGAAATTTGAGAGGTTGGAAATTTGAGAAGGTGGAAATTTGAGGTGAAAATTTGAGAGGTTGGAAATTTAAGAAGGTGGAAATTTCAGAAGGTGAAAGTTTGAGAAGTTGGAAATTTAAGAAGGTGGAAATTTGAGAAGGTGGAAATTTGAGAAGGTGGAAATTTAAAAATTTGGAAAATTGAGAATTCCGCAATTTGAGAATTTGGACACTTGCAATATCCAAATTCAAAGAATTTAGGAATTTAAAAATTTGGAGATCTAAATCTGAAAACTTAAAAAATTGCATATTTGAGGCATAAAATTTCTAAAACTTAATAAACATTCCATTAATCACTCACGCCATCTCTGCGAGTTCCCACAACTAAAAAGATCAGAAGATTGAATTCAACAATTTTAAGAACCGCAAAGTTTCAAAAAAGAGTTGTACTGATTCACAAAACCGAATGATACTGCAGCATCTGATACATCGATTGATTGATCGATCTCTTTCTGCAAAGGCGGAAATGTATACCGAAAGTTAACATTGTTTTTCACTTATTCCTAGTTCCCTGCACAGGAAAGGTGGACGTGTCATCCATGATTGATAAACGTGTTTGCTGTAGATTTAACTGATATCGTGTGTACGGTTAAGGGAAGAAACAAAGTTTTTATCTTAAAATTAAAACATTGTCAAATTCAGTATTTTCAGCTGCCAAAAATAATTTTTTAAAACAGTTGGTAACATAGTTAATACACTAATTGGTAACAATTATTATATTGTAATTTTTATTACTACTATTTTATTATTTCAATTTTTTATAATTTTTGTGAACGTATTAATTTTTCAACTATGATGATTACATATAATTTTCTAATACATTCATTATTGATACACATTTTATCAAATCTATAATTGTATTATATTTAAGAAAATATGAAACTGTGTAGCATTTTACAAAATTTGTAATTTTATAACATTTCATAAAATCTATAACTTTGTAGTGTTTTATAAGTCATGCACTATATAACTTCATATTGTTTATTTATGTGAATGATTATTCGTAAAAGATTATTCGTTGAATAATATTTGAGAAATTATATAAAATACCTAACCTCAAAAATGATTCGTTAATAACCACACAGAATATAATACAGAAAGAAGTCATTTAGTCACCTAACTTATTAACAATTACATATTTTTCAACAAAATAATAATTTTTATCATGAAAAAGCTAATACAGAATTACTATTAAGAAAGAAGGTTTCCATTCAAAAGAACATAGCCTTCAAAGATTTAAGATGCCATGGTCTGCCATCTTGAATGCAATCGTAAACACGACGTTCTTCCTATATTACTTAACAATTATAACTATAAACTTGCTAATTTTTATTTAACAATCATCTTCAACCTCTCTCAATTTCTTCTTACATTTTTAATATTATTTTCGATTGATTAATATCATGTTTGACAATTTACAGACGTCATGGCGCGCCATTTTGAATAGAATCGTAAATACAACGTTCTTCATATAATACTTAACGATTATGACCACAAACTTACTAATTTTTACTCAACAATTATTTCCAATTTCTTTCAATTTCTTCTTACAATTTTAATATTATTTTCGATTGATTAATATCATATTCGACAATTTACATTTCTTACTCTTATATTAACATTTCTGTTTAAAACATCAGACATAAAACATCAGAATAAACCTCTACAACGACACTTGTAAATAATATGTTCATTTCTTACAAAGTGTCCCAGTTCATTACATATAAAATATTTTACACACGTAAATTTCCACGAGGCAACACAGCTTCGAAAAGAAAGCGTTTATTTCGTCCAAGCTTTAAAAATGAGGCGTTTGACACTTTGTGTAGATGATTCCCTTTCAGCAAGATGAAACGATCCGGAGGCAAAAAGAGCGGAAACACGGGACAAATTTGAACGGCTAAATACGGCTGGCGAACGTTCCGATAATTCGGAACACTTGGCGTAAAATCGTGCAACGTGATCGATACACCTGCGCCAAATGGCGATGCCCGACACGCGATAAAACGGGCCAGAAAAGTTTCGAACGAGAAAACGTGAGAAGAAGAGAGGCGATATGATATCGGGCAACGATTCAAACGTTTGGAACTATGCCAGCCATGTATACGTGGACACCAGGATGAAAGAGCCAGCAAGGTGAGAAAAAGGGAGGCAAGTTGGATATAACTTACTTCGCTTGTAACTTTATTCGCTAGCAAAAAAGATCGATGACTTTTATCGATTACGAATGATCTCTTTTTAAATAACGTTTCTCTGACATTTCTGTGGATTCGGAAATCGGCTGACATTTTTGGGGTATTTTAGGTTGAATTGAATTTTGTATGGAGTGTTTATTCGTTTGTATTCATCGAAGATTTATTTGAATTATAAATGCAGACAATTATAGTAGAGTGCAATAATAATTTAATCATATATGGTTAATGTAATATGTGATCATATGTAATCATTAGTACTTATCGTTAATACGCATGTATGTACACATGTTTAAAACTACATACACATTAAAAACTAAATATGTACTAAAAAATAATATTATTAATAAGCATGTATGTGTTCATATGTATGTATTCATATACATATATGTTTAGAACACACATGTTTAAAACTACATACATATTAAAAACTAAATATGTACTAAAAAATAATATTATTAATAAATAAGCATGTATGTGTTCATATGTATGTATTCATATACACATATGTTCAGAATCACACACATGTTAAAAACTACATACATATTAAAAACTAAATATGTACTAAAAAATAATATTATTAATAAGCATGTATGTATGTGTTCATATGTATGTATTCATATACACATATGTTTAAAACCACATACATGTTAAAAACTACATACACATTAAAAATTAAAAATATTCTAAAAACTAATATCATGAATAAGCACATATGTGCATTCATACATAGAATTCGATATGACAATGAAAAGTGCACCGTCAGAACTATTGAGTGAACTAATCTCGTGTAATATTAATTCGCGACTTAAACAGAGCTCCCTGTAGACATCCAGTAAGACAGTGCAAACATTGACAGGGAAACTTATAATGCAAGATTATAAACGTCAGGTGAACGCGAAGTTGTTTAAATTCTAAGTGCACGCTTCAGATGTTCGGAAAATTCAAACTCCGCGAAGAGAATAGAAACAAACAAGCAAGACAGAAAGGTTCATTGACCAGTGTTTCCGAAGAAGAAAAGCCAGTTCGCCTCTCATTACCGCCTGCTCGAGAACTTGTTCTGGAGTCTGCATAATTCATGAACCTTGAAACGGTGCCACTGTATAAATCCCAAAATTCCGATACCTCATTCCCACAACATTAGACGAATTACAAAGGAGAACCTACCAAGAAACGGTTTCTTATCGCTCGAACGGAAACCGATGGAAGGAAGTAGGATACGTAAGCGATTTCAAATAAAAGCGATTTTTAAACAAAATAAAAAGCGGCAATAAACGAAATACACCATTTTCTATCAACTTTGGATAAAAAAAAAGAAGGTGAAGTCCGCGGTTTCTAGGAATTTTGGGGATTCTATGAATTCTAGGGATTTTAGGGATTTTGGGCATTTTATAGATTCTAAGGATTGTGGGGATTTTAGGAATATTGGGAATTCTATGGATTCTAGGGATTCTAGGACTTTTTGGAATTCTAAGGATTCTAAGGATTTTGGGGATTTTAGGGATTTTTAGGATTCTAGGAATTTGGGGAATTCTATGGATTCTAGCGATTTTAGGGATTTTGAGAATTCTGGGGATTTTAGGGATTGTGAAGATTTTAGTGAACTTGGGGATTCTAGGGATTTCAAGGATTTTCGGGATTTTAAGAGTTCTAGGGATTTGGGGGATTTTAGGAGTTTCGGGGATTTCAGTGATACTAGGGATTTTAGGAATTCCAGTGATTCTAAGGATTTTTAGAAATTTTAAGAATTTCAGACGTTCTAGGAATTCTAGGGATTCTAAGGTTTATAGGGACCCTAAGAATTATAGGGATTATAGGGATCCTAAGAACTCTAGAGACTTTATGAATTCTAGAAATTTTTGTTACTAAAAGCATTTAGGATTCTAAGCATTCTCGGGATTCTAGGGATTTGAGGAAACACAGTGATTCTACAAATTGTAAGGATTCTAGAAAATGTTTTCAAATTCCCAAATTCCCAAATTATTCAAATTCTCAAACTTCA